ATTTTTAAACATAAATCTTTGCTGGCATTTTAGATTTCTTTCTGGATATATACTTAGGTGTGGAATTGAGTATTATGTTTATCTTAAATTATTCCTTACATTCTAAAATATGCTTGAAAATGGGCTTTTAAAATATGAACTCATTGTAAGCAGCCGATTATGACTACATGTGTCATTACAAATATTAAAAAATATTTCTGTAAAGTCTTTTCTCATATTACAGCATCAATTTCTGAATGTATTTGTGGCCTACTGTAATGAACCTCAGTTTACACAAATTGCAAAAGGTGTGGTAGTAGGGATTGCTGTACACCAAATAGCTTCTATTCTCTTTACAGGCATATCTTAGGATTGCACTTCTCCATTCCCTTGGAATTTGATGAGTCATACAACTTGTTTGCATAAGTGGTCATATGTGTGTAACTTATGAGTGAGGATTAAGAGCAGTATGTGACTAGCCATATATCTCTTTCTCTCAGCCATAAAGACTGACAGTATTCCAGATTGCAGCTACTCTGCTAGCTTAGGTTCTGCAGTTAGGACAAGGCAGAGAAGCCTCCCCATGATAGACACAATGTGAGTAAGGAACAAAGCTTTCTTCTCTAAGCCACGAAGATTTGAAGATTGTTTGTTATACAGCACAATCTCTTCCGTCTTGAGTAGACTGAATAGGGCTCCACACTAACAGAAATTAGTATACAGAAGTGGGCTCCTACCATAACAAAAATGTGGCATTCATTAAAAGCCATGGTGAGAAAATTGTCCATGGACCTGGAAGAATGCTGATGCATGTTGTGCAATGGCAGACTATTTGGAAAGGTTGTCATGTGCAATAACAGAGTGAATATCAAATACCCAATAAATTTGGAGAACTGGTGGAGTAAGTTGGAAAAAAATGTTACTAACATGTATTGGCTACTGGCTCTATCTGACAAGGTACTATGGTAGAGATATGATGAAGAAAGAACTAGCTGGCTTGCAAACTAGATTAAAAAGAAAATAGAAAGTTCACAAATTCAGGGACTGGTAAGTTTTTAGAAGAAATGACTACTTCTTATACTTAAACAGTAAAATACAGAGAAATATTTTTGAGTAATAAAGTCTGATTAAAATTCAGCCTTGCAGCTAATATTAAATTAAGGATTACCAGTTTCTTATTGCTATTGTAACAAATTACTAAAAACCTCTTGGCGTAAGACAATGCAAATTTACTCATTGTTCTGATGGGCATAAATCTTAAATGGGCCTCTCTGGGCTAAAATCAAGATGTTGACAGAAATGTGTTCTTTTCTGGAGGCTCTAAGGGAGAATCCATTTTCTTGCCTTTTCCAATATTCATTGGCTAGTGGCCCCTTTCCACCTTCAAAGCCAGACATAAGTGGTTGAATCATTCTCCTATTGTATCCCCCTGACACTGATTCTCCTTCTGTCTCCTGCTTCTACTTTTAAGAACCCTTGTGATTACATTGAGCCCACCTGGATAATTCAGGATACTCTCCCTATTTTGAGATCAGCTGACTAGCAATTCCATCTGCAACCTTAATTCTTCTTGACCACATAATATAACATATTTGCAGGTCTGGGGATTAGACAGTAGACATTTTGGAGGGACTGTTATTCTGCCTGCGACAGAGTGATACCTAGAATATCTTTTAAACTGGGCAAAATTGTTTTGGGAAAAGATATTAAAAGTGTGGTTCTGGACACCTGATAGGCACAAGATACCCACAATGAAATCAAGAGAGTAAGGGAAAGGGACAGAAGCATGGGAGTGAGGAAGAAAAGATGCTTAGCAAATATGAGTGTTATATCTAAAAAGAAACTGTCACGAGTTTTGGTACATGAAGCTGACTGAAATCAAAGAGAAAAATTCAGTGAAGTTTTTGAGAGAATTATATTGCCAAAAGAATCAGCTTGAACTAAAAGAGAATGTGACAGTTCAGGACTTAAAATAACACTGAGGCTTCAACCATCATTGGATAGGATGTAGGCTAAGGAGGCTGCCTATTCCCTAAGAGAGGTATATTCCCTGACACCCACTTCAAATGTGGTCAAAGACCATCATGGAAAGGAAGACTGTCCCAGAGGACAGAGCCAAGGACCATAGATTTTAGGAGTTAAGGAGACCCTTCTACTCCAGGGCCATCTCAGGAGAGGAGTCCTTGAAGCATTTGCCCAGTAAGACATGAGAGTTGCAACGACCCATAGCAGTGATTGTAGTACACCTTCAATTTGTACACTTTCTAAACAAGAGTATTTACTGGGATTATCTTGGCCTGATTTTGTCATTGTATACTGGCTAGGTAGATGGGTGAGTAGGGAGGTTGGTAACTTGCCTTTTTAGTTACAGGTCTCTGGGTCATCAGGGGCCGTATCTGGATCTGATGCAAATATTTCACATCACCCCTAGATATTAGCTTACCAGGGATCCTGGACTGTGTGCTTGATGCTATGATTGGAGGGTGTTTGAGATTGTCTCCTTCAAGTAAACAGGAGAGGGAGTGTATCTTACTGGGAGAAAGCAGAGAGGAACAAATAGTTGGTAGCCAGAAGGGCACGTTGTAATAAGCATTGGTGCTACTCACTAATATCTATTCTTTTTTCCTTCTACCCATATAAAAAACTGAACTTCTTAGCCCTTTATTGGTTGTGTGGGGGAATAGTAGTTCTGACCATTGGAGCATCATTTCCAGAACACTTAATTCTTAATGGTGTAAGATGCTCCTTAATTACTTAATTCTAATTCTTAATTAAGTACTTAATTTCTAATTAACACTTAATTCTAATTCTTAATGGTGCAGGATATTCCTGAGTTCTCCCTTCTCCCTGTTGAGGTGATCCTAGAAGCAAGTGTAAAGATGGAGCTTCCATCAACTTTCTGGAGCTTCCCTACCAACCCACTCTGGACATATAGTATGAGGTATAAGTACACTTTTGTTGTGACTAGGGACTTATTCGTTACTGTAGCATAAATCAGCTTGCCCTAACTGATACAGAACATGATGACTTTTCTTTTATTGCTTTGTAAAATTTTTATTCTGAGGTTTAAGTGTAAGATCCCGTAAGAGGTTTTCATAGGAATTCATGTACACGCCTTCTAATTATACAACACACTTTCAGGAATACACTTAATGCAGGAAGTAAGCTGTATCTGCTTGTTACCTTCTTCGTGTATATAAATTTCAATAAATTTCAATAAATATTTAAAGATGAGAAAGAGGTACATTTGTAAGAAAGTCAGATTTATTATATCTGGGGCAACTCCACCTTTAATTGCATCCATTAGTCAAGGATTTATAACATGGATTATTGGTTCTATTTAATTGTTAAACAGAAGTTGAAGCCTTGGATCTGTCAACTAAGCAGTTTTTGAAGGCTGGGACTGAAAGGACACTTGGAAACCCACCCCATCAAGCAACCCTAGGGTTGGGTCACCAGGGGCAAACTTATTTGTGTTATGTACATAGAGAACCAAAGGGTAAATGTCAAATTACCAAAGTCACAGAAACAATATTTATTAACCAAGCCAACATGATAAGAACAAAGTCAAAAAATAAAAATCTTATAATATTTAGGTAAATGAACAACTTCAGCTAAAAAAAAAAGTCAAGCAAGTGTAGCAACAAGATCAAAAGGTACAGAATTTTTACTATAAACAGACCTGAGACCACTGTACCGCTCTATCATTGGATGCTATGCTGATCCAGAAGTTAAATGCACAAGTTGGTACAGGTTAAATACACAGGTTTCAGACAGATAGTATTCAGGCTTGGGATGTCATAGAAATAACTAGGCTGTGTCTCTGATATAACTGATAAATTTCTACAGTGATTGTCTTAGGGTTTTTTTTTTTTGTTTTTTTTTTTGTGTGTGTGAGACAGGGTCTCACTCTGCCACCTAGGCTGGAGTGCAGTGGTGTGATCACAGTGCTCACTGCAGCTTCAACCTCTCGAGCTTAAGTGATCCTCCTAACTCAGTCTCCCAAGTAACTGGGACCATAAGTGCACCACCACACCTGGCATTTTTTTTTTTTTTTTTTTTTTTTTTTTTCTGTAGAGACAAGGTCTCACTCTACCTTTCATTGCATCCATCAGTCAAGGATTTATATCTTGCCCAAGCGAGTCTGGAACTCCTGGATTCAAGTGATTCTCCTACCCAGGTCTCCCAAAGTTGTGGAATTTTAGGCATGAGCCACCATGCCCAATTGTCTCAGATTCTTAATATTATGATAGCCTCTATGACTTCACAAGAAAATACTGGTTTTCATTTAAATAGAAAAGTTGATCACAGAAAAAACTGAAAGGAGAGTTAAAGGATTATTATAAAGAAGAAAATAGGAGGAGGAGGCAGAGGAGAAAGAGGAGCAGAAAAGGGAGACGTAAGGAGAGATGGGGAAGTAAGTGAGTGATTAACAAAATAAATAAATAAAAAGTAAGTTTCGCTGACTTTGGAAAGTCTGAGGACCAAAATAGGAATGCTACTGAGGGAGCCAGAGGAAAGGACCCAAATAAAAGCTGAAGCAACTGGAAATGTAAAAGAGAATGCAGATTTATTGGTGATGCAGGCAGTTAGACCTGGCCTGAGCTAAAAACCACTGTAGATAGTTACATTGGAGTATCCGGAGCAGAGAGACAGCTCAGCGAGAAACACCTGCTGGCTGTGCCAGTGCTCAGCTTTACTTTTGGCTCCTATTTTTCCGTATCTGAGAGAATCTCTGGGTGCCCCTGGGCAGTCAGGCACCCCTTCCCACAGATGGAAAAAGGTTTATTACATTTTATACCAAAAGCAACCAAAGTGTTCTGCAGAAAATGAAAAAAGAAAATGCTTAATCATTTCTAAAGGTGCCAAATCAATTTCTCCTTGAGAAAGTACAAAACAGGGTAAAATTTTTAAAATAAAAACAGTTTATCTTGTGTTTTATTCCAGGTAAAAATTTAAAATGATGCCTTGCTTTCTGATCAACAGTTTGCCTCATCACTAAAGAGTACAGCAATCTTAGAAATGTACCTGAGGATTTATTCCAAAACTGGTATAAAACATTTCATTCCAAACCAGTATCATTTGAACTAAAATTCATTTGGGTTTATAAATTGAAGAGATGCAAACACAAAGTTGGCATTCCTTTAACATTTTCAAAGATAATAGAAGTACATAGTGACTGCTTTAACCCAAGTAAGCCTGTCAAAATGTTGGCAATATTGCTTTCAGCTGTTTTCTGGAAGCATATCTCATTTGAAATATTTTCCTCAGTTAATGTTTTCTGTTTAATAAAAGACTAAACATGAAGACATGTTCTTGGGGCTATAAAGAATGTATTAAACCTCTCTCAATGACTTAAAATACCTTCAAAACAGTGGCCATGTTTTGTCATAATTGCATTCTCACTTGTCTATGTTCATTTTTACTTCCTTTGGTTTGTAGAGTGAAATGAGAACTGGATTCAAAGGTGTGCCAATGATGTTGTCTGGGAACTAGATTCTTCTCCATAAGTCTCATTCCTTCATCTGCAAAATAGGTACAACAATGCTAATTACACCCCCTTCACTGGGTTGTTAGGGAAAAATGACCATAGCAAACTAAAGTCATTGGAACAGAAAAAAGCATAATGGAAATTTAAGGCATGTATTAGTAGTGGTGTTACTATTATTTCTCTTTACTAATATAGTTTATGTCAACAGGGCTCCAATGCAAGGGTTTGTGAAAGATCTACTGCACATTCAAGCAGGTTTTTGTGTATGTGGAAAGCCTATGAAGCAGACACCACAGGAGGCCTTACAGCAGTCCACAGAAATAGACCTATAAGGCACTAAGAAACTCAATTACCCCATAACCATTGAGGCAAGAGATAGTGGTGATGAGCAAGCAATTAGGTGGCAATCATTAGAGATAAATTAGGGAAAGTCGATCTAATCCTTTCTCGGTGCTCCTCAGATTTCAGTGTGCCAGACATCACCTGAGAAGCTCATGAAAATACAGATTCTGATTCAGTAGGGCTGGGGCAGATCCTGAGAGTTTGCAATTCTAATAAGCAGCATAGAAATAGTATAGTATCTAATAATCAGACAATATGTATACTAATGGTTCATGAAGTATATTTCAAATAGCAAAGATCTATTTTAGAGCAGCTTCGAAGGAAATCTGTGCCAGGACTCTAAGGATGAAATTGGAAAGCTAAAATGACTGGATTCATCTTAAGAACCTGGGAGCACAATTCAGGGCTGCATTTCTCTAACATGTCAGAGTTGGTGGGTCAGTTCCCATGATGGCACACAGGCACACGGGATTCTGGAGAAGAAAGGGTTCACATTGCAAACTCTGAGGTGGGTCATGTGAAGACAAATGACCACAAGTAGCCGCTGCTTGGGTTGGCAGGGGAAAGTATGGCTTCCACTCTGAGGTAGAAGCAGGGGGTTGTCATGGCCAATCAAGAGCAAATGAGAATTCCCAGTGATACCCTGAGGACCACCACAAAGAGGCTTAGGCTGAGGTTCCAGAGATACTGCAAAAGAGCATTGAGTCAGAAGGTTTGTTGTTGTTATCATAAGCCTGGTGGACCCAAGCTGGTGCCATTTTGAGAAATGTGGGTTATGTCATTGTCTACATTTTATTATACAATCATCATTAGTATCAGCGTCCCCAGTGGAACAAGATGATATCCCTGAAATGATCATTGGAAATAAAGCCACCCAATTCTCTTGGGTATTGATGCTCCCTTGGTGTTTCCTTCATATAGATAAACCTGCAGAGTCTAATGGAACACAATTTTTACTGCACAACAGTCTTGCATATATAGAAAAAATAATATCTGGCAAGTAGAATTTTCAGAGGAATTAGTCTAATATAAGAGATATTAACATTCTTATATCAATAAATAGTTGAGTGAAAGGTAATTTGCAAAGAATTCAAATGACCATAAAAACACTAAAACATTAAGCTGTGAGAAGTCATCAGCATTTGTGTTTTCCAGAGCTTCCCAGGTACTTCACCTTCCCAAATGGGATCTGCTGTCCTAAAGAACCATGCTGTCTTCTCTGTTCCCTCATAAACCGTACTCTACATTCAAGTGGTTTTCTACCAGGGTGTCTCATGTTGCTAAATCAGTATAAAATATAGGATGTAGAGTTATGGTCTGTGCACAGAATATTATGTACAAATTTCCAACTACCATATTTATATAGATACTCCAGCGTGAGAGTAAATGTTACTAATAAGTCTGTCCTACACATGAGCATTATTTATTTTGTTTGTTATTGACTTCTCTCTACTTTACACTGTGCTAGGCACTAGAGTTGCAAGCACGGACAATAAGAAATACACCTGTCATTATGAGGATTACAATACAGTGGGGCAGGGGATATAAATAATAGTAAAATATTTGATGCTGTGATGGGAAAAAAACAAGAAGGTAAGCTAGCATCAGAGGGGACCTACTTCAGACAGGGTGATAGAGAAGTCCACTCTGAGGTTACGGTGGTGCTGGAAGACATGGCTAGTGAAGGAGAACAGGGAGAGTTTTTCTAGAAAAGAGAAGGTGTTTGTAAAAGCCTGAGGCAGGAAAGAAATTGGCATGCTCAAAAAATCAGCCAGAAGCCAACCTGTTCAGAGCTATCAGAAAGTATAAGCCAAGCTCTTCTCAGTTGAGGATAAAACGGTTTTTTTCTCAATTCAATAAACACTAATGTATCACCTATACATCAAATACTCTATTCGAACAAGACAACTCCCCGTGAAGCTTATGTTCGAATGAGGGAGATACACTCTCCTGATGTGTTATCATAGAAGTACTGGAAACCATTGGAACACATAGGTAGTTGGAGGCAGGGGGGCTTTTTAGAATATTTTTTTAACATCATTATTTTCATAATATAAAATTTTCTTTTTTCAACTTTTATTTTAAGTTCAGTTTTAACTTTTATTTTAAGAAATATGTGCAGGTTTCTTATATAGGTATACTCGTGTCATGAGGGTTTGTTGTACAGATTATTTTATCACCCAGGTATTAAGCCTAGTACCCCTTAGTTATTTTTTCCTGATCCTCTCCATCCTCTCACCCGCCACCCTCCAATAGGCCCCAGTGTCTGTTGTTTTTCTTTGTGTATCCATGTGTTCTCATCTTTTAGCTCTCACTTACAAGTGAGAACATGAGGTATTTGGTTTTCTGTTCCTGCTAAGGATAGTGGCCTCCAGCTCCATCCACGTTCCTGCAAAGGACATAATCTCTCATTTTTTTGTGTGGCTGCATAGTATTCCATTTTCTTATAGGAAAAAAAAATCAGTTACATTAACTTAAAAATATTTACATTGAAATATTAGATATTTCAAATTATTCAAAAAGTTAAAATACATGTTCCTTACTTCCAATATTTCTATTCCAACTGGCAATATGTATGAAAAGTTCAAGAAAAGGCAAGTTGTATTGACTGATTCTTGAATTTTTGCTCAGCATGAGACCTAGAAATGTCAGTCATTCTTTCTGAATTTCTCTGTTCAGGACTAACCCATTCATTGAACAGGTTACCACACTTTATGTGGAAATATCCTGTCTTCATCAATAGATTATAAACTTTTTGAGGGCAAGGATTTGGTATTCTTACCTTCAAATGACTCAAAACAATATTTTGGATAAATTAGAATCCACATAGATTGGTTCATTCTGACTCATAAAGTATTTCAAAATATCTCCAGGGTCTTTATATATCCCAATGTGTGATTAACTTGAAATAATTTTCACTACTTTCTTTTCAAGTGAGGGTTTTGGATCCTGGCTGTATTTCAGAAAAATGTGATCTCCTTACCAGCCACTTCCCTCTCGTTCTTTGAAGAAATGAAAACCAAACGGTGAAGCTTCTTCTATCAGGAAATCTGATGCTAAATCACTCTTTCTTCCATCACCAATGAATTCAATCATTTCATGCCAATACAATTAAATTAGGGCTCTTCAGCACCACTTGGCACATGATTGTATGATTCCCGTTAAAAAACAAATCCAAACCTAGAGAATCTTTTGGAGAAAACCTATTTTGAGAAGATATTTTCACTGTTAATAATTTTATAAAAAAGTTTACCTTTTTAGCTGAAGTTTTTTAAGGGGCCCCAGGATAATTTTTGTTTTCCTCTGAACTTTGGCCAGAGTAAATTATACATACATGAAAGCAGGAATTTTTCCTAATATTACTAAGAGGCATGAACACTCGGTTTGGACGTTGACTGGACTTAACATGTAAATAATATATTTCCTTTTTCAAACTTCTATTTGTGCCAAATATTATAACTTTTTGCTCACACAATTGCATTTTAAAATTTCCATATAGTCACAGCCAAACTCGTTAGAAGGTTAAAATGTATTACACAGTAGAATCAATTTACTTTTTAAAAGGAAGAACTGCACCTACAAACTGGTAATGCTAATATTAACTAATTGCTTTTATACAACACTGGAATAAGTGAACAACCTTAGGCAGATATTTACGCATTTTGCCACTACCCATTTAAATTTTGCCATGATCGATTTAGGTCATACACTTCAAAATTCCAAGTACATTATCTCAAGATAATGTATATAAAATATTTAAAGCTTGGCTTTTAGAGACTTCTACAGTTTTCTGTCAATACCATAATCACCGTAGAAACTATGAGTGTGGGAAATAAAAGGGCTGTGTGGTGGCTGTCCTTTGAGTTTCCAAAGCCTGTTCTTGTGCTTGGGGCTAGCAAGCCTAATTTGTCAACTGAGGCAACGTGGTTTCAGTCTCAGGTCAGTGATCATGCTCCAATTGGAGCAGCAATCACTCTGAAACTATCCTAGCTCAGCAACTAGCTCACATTCCAAAAAGAACTGCAGTATTAGCACCTGAGCTCCAGCCCAGGAGTTATCAGCAAAAACGCTGTTGATCCCCAGTCATTCATTCAATAAATATTCATTGGGCATCTACTATGTGTCATCAGGGACTGTACCAAGTATGGTAGAATACATAGATTAAAACTGATGATCCCTTATCTTAAGAAGCATGCACTCCACTGTGGCGCAGGGGATGGGGGGTGTGGCGGGGGAACCAGATCTATTGGCCAGACGTAGTGGCTCAAGCCTGAAATCCCAGCACTTTGGGAGGCCCAGGTGGGCGGATCATGACGTCAGGAGTTGGAGGCCAGCCTGGCCAACATGGTCAAACCCCATCTCTACTAAAAATACAAAAATTAGCCAGGTGTAGTGGTGGGGTCCTGAAATCCCAGCTACTCAGGAGGCTGACGCAGAAGAATGGCTTGAAGCCAGGAGGCGGAAGTTGCAGTGAACCGAGATCACACCATTGCACTCCATCCTGGGTGACAGAGTGAGACCTCTCTGTCCCAAAAAACAAAACAAACAAACAAAAAAACAAACAAACCACCAACCAACCACAAAAGTCCTATTAATTTGTTTTATTAATTCAAGAAATATTTATTAAACACCTGTTATTTACTAGGCATGATTATAGATGCTGAAAATATAGCATTGAATAAGACTGTCAAAGTCCCTATATGATGGAGTTTACTTGTTAATCAAGAGTTAGACACAGGTAGTAAACAAATAAATGAACAAGATCATTTTGGATATATACAAGTATCATGAGGAGTATAAGAAAGTGTGATGTGTTGGCAAATGTGGATGGAGTTACCACTTTAGACAGGATGAGAAGACATCTCTAAATAGGTGATCATTGAGCTGACACTCAATGACAGATAAAGGAGGAGACAAGCAATCTAAAATCCTAGGGGAACACATTCTAAAGAGCAAAGAAGTTTGGATGTGTTTGAGGAAACAGAAAGGAGAGTGTTGTGAGACCAAAGGAGTGACCAAGAAAGTATAAAGAGGTAATCACAGAAACCAGTCAGAGGCCATGCAGTGTGTTTCTTATGGGTCAAGGCAAAGTGCTCAGATTATACCCAAAGAGTAAGCCACTGGAGGGCTGGAACTAGAGTGCCGGTGAAGGGTCATACCTTTTGAAGAAAACTACTGAATAGTGTGCAGGTGCTATTTATTATTGAGGTGGACAAATTATGGGATGAAAGATAGTGATAAAGAATAAAGGAAGGATGAGAGAGAGAAAAAGGAACATTTTCACAAAGGAATTACTCAAACTCATACTTGAAGAAGTTAAACCTTCCCGGGTGGACACAAGAGGGCAGAATGAAAGAAGAGAGCATGTCAAGTGGGGGAAAACAGCATACACAGTGGAATGAATGTGTAAAATAACATGGCATGTTCTGGGAACCAACAGTCAGAGTTGAGAATCAACGATGGCTTGATGAGGCTTGCATGTCAGGCATAGAGTTTAGATTGCAGGTGATGGAGGAACCCCTGACTATAGGGTTTTCATGATGCCCCTCTTTCTTGCCTTGTCAGCCCGTCCCCTAATTTCCTGAGATAGCTATAGGTAGTTTGAAAATAGATGTATGTCAATACCTCATGCTGATCCCCTATATACTTTCTTCCGTGTTATTATGTGTTATATAAATCTTCAGATTAGTACCACTTTTGCACCAGATTGGAACTAGCTGCTTCTGTATTTATTTCCACCATTAGAATGCAAGTTCCTTGAAGTTAGAAACAATGACATTTAAATTCTGCATCCCTAATATCTGACACAACATTAGACACATAATATGAACTCAGCAAATATTAAATTTTGATAGGAAGCAGATAGAGAAATAGATGGTTGAAATTTCAGAAAATATTTGAATTAGTCTCCAGGACTGAAATCAGAATGTTAGCGCTAGAGCATTTTCTATACCGTGGAGTATATACTATTAAGATGAGGTAGGTAGTAGTTGTTTGTCTGATACTATACTAAGAGTTTCTGATGGCTTTTAATTCATAGGCTCAGGATTAGTAGAGTTTGTCTGATACTATACTAAGAGTTTCTGATGGCTTTTAATTCACAGGCTCAGGATTAGTAGCTCACCCCCACCCAGTCTTGTGATACTGCCTACATTTAAAGCTTCCTCACTAGTCTGACCAGTCTCAATGTTGGTTTCCTCTAGCCTGATCATCAGCTCCCTCTAGAGGAAAGCCTGGAATTAGTACTTATCATCAATCATCTTCCTTTAGCCTATTTCCATCTATTTACGGAGCCTGATCCCAGCCAACTGTGGCAACCACTTAATGACTGATTTGATTCCATGTACAATCTTTCAGGAGTGCCGAATTCTCAATGTCTGACACGTAAGTATGTTACACACGTATTACTATCCCATCTCTCAGAGTGTCCTCCTTCTAAATGATGCAGTTATCATGTAAAGGCTGCAGAGCACCCAGATATGAGAAAGAGAAACAGAGTGAGAAGCAGAGACAGACAAGGATGGAGGAAAAGCATGAGGATTGGATGGATAGAGGGAAGAACAACGGAAAAATTTTTTTTCAAGTTTCCTTGATCAGAAGACATATTTATGTTCTTATTTGGAAAACAACGTATATGACTCAGTATTATATAATCTGTATGAGGCAAAATTCCCAGATCAAGGGCCTGAAGAACATATCTACAGAAAATTTCAGTATGTCATATTGGCCACACCTGGACACACCAGAAGGGCAGCAAAGATGACATAATAACTTCAGAGAAGACGCAATATTTGAAGAGGTGGACAACTATCCCTGACGTTCAGACTCCAAAGGAGTAATGAGTAATAGCTATCCTTTGTCTCAGGGTGGAAGTGGATGGAGGAGTTCTAGATAGGGAAAGAAACACAGTCTCAGGGGAAAGACAGGTTGCACCCATTTGTGGAATATTAGTTGAAGGTTGAAAGGAAGAAGAGATTTTGTGTGCGACCCTGAACAGTATTTAATGATCTTTCTGCCCAGCTCCCAGGGACATAAGATGGGTTCTCAAGGAAATAAAAAAGGGAATGAGATGGAAAAATTGTACATAAATGAAGTTTAGAAATATGAGGGGTCAAAGCCATTCTGGTTTTAGCTTAATAGCCTGGCTTAACATAGAAGAAAGGTATGACTGCTTCATCAGGTAAAAAGGATGCAAGATTAAGAGAAGCATTCAGGAGGTGGTCAACAAACATTGATTTCCTCCCCCTGTTCCCTTCCACATTGCCATCTGGAGGCTAGAGTCAACACACACACACACACACACACACATACACACACACACACATACACACACACACACACATTCATCCTCACATGAACAAGTATTGCACATTTGATGTCACGGATGCAAACCTTCCCAGTGGTGACCACTTTTTAATTCTCCCAAGTAAAGTTTATATTGATCAACTAAATGTGTGAATGAAGGAGTGAATAACTGAACAATTTAGTGAAATTCTATTTAGTATTCAGATCTATACTTAATAGTGCAAGATACCTCCTGATATTATTTAATCCTTATTGCAACAATGTAAAAAGGAACTGTTATACTCATTTAGAAATTAGAAAACTGAAGCTTATGCAAGTGACCTGCTTAGGATTACAACACAGAAACTAAGAGATGAGATTTAAACACAGATAAGTTTAATTTAATTTCATTTCCTTTTCTTTTATAACAAAGCTTCAACCTATAGGTGATTTCACACAGTCACAGTATCAATCTTAGTCATTAAAATACACATTTGGTTGCAAGAAGTGTCAGGCACCGTTGAATAGCTAGCCTAAGACTCATTTTCAAACACCTAAATACTCACTGTTTCAGATTCTCTTGAAGCTAGGGAAGGCCAGCTGTCTGACTTCTGGTCAATGATTTGTAAGTGGAAGTTTGTTGATGGATATGGAAAACTCTGCTTTTTGATAGAAGAAACATACATCTGTAACACTCCACCTGCACCTCTACATCCTGCCTGAATATGAAAATGATGCTTAGAGCAGCAACAATCATCTTGTGACCATCAGGAAAAGGTAAAAAAAGAAAAAAACTGCAGAGATGCTGCTTCTTACCTCATTGAATAACTACCTATATCCAGACTCCTTGCTGCATGAGAAAAACAAACTTCTATTTGTCTAAGGTATTTTAAGGTAGTCTGT